CATTGTTTTGTGCCACGCCCAACAGAAATACTCCAGGTGGACACCTTCAGCAATCAGGAGCTCCTCAGTTGCTCATAGCAAATCCCACCTTGGAGTTTACAAAAACTTATGGGTAGAAAAGCCACACAAAGTAATTTACTACCCTGCACCATGTAAGACGTTACTACCAGGAGAAATGGCATAGGCGGCTGGAGGTGTGTGGGCACTCTGTACCTTCCGTGCAGTGCTTCTGCAAACCTAAAACTGCCCAACAAACAGTTGAAGAGTAGATGCCTTAGACTTATGGTGTTGGCCAAGAACGCTTAGTGCACTATGGACCACCAGAGAACGAACAAATCTGTCTGGGAAGAAGTACAGCCAGAATGCTCCTTAGAAGTGAGACTGGCCACACTTCTTTGTGTGACGAACTCTGGACATAGCAAAAAACGGGAAGCTGGTCCACGAGATGGATTGACACAAGGGCTGCAACAATGGGCTGGAGCATGGCAACAACTATGAGAATGGAGCAAGACTGGGCAGTACTTCCTTCTGATGTCTATACATGGCGTCACCAGGAGTTGGAACCAACTCCGCAGCACCTAACGTAACAACACACCACATCTCCTGAGTGATCTACAGTATCTTCTCGGCCCTCATGTAGGAAGGACAAGATGATACCGCATAATTAATGTAAACTCCTTTGCTGCAATTAAACAGCTACATGGGGCTCTCTCAGACACTGATCTCCTCCCTGCAGAGTCCACGGACTTGTTTCCATTTTCAGGCTCCAAAGTAACTGATGAGCAAATCCAATGGAAACAGTCTTGTCCTGCTCCTCTCTGACAAGCCCTCCTTGGAAGTCACTTTCATTTTGAGATAGTGACCCAGCTGTACACTGGAGAGTCACAGCACTCCTAGAGTCAGGCGTTTGGTCTACAGCATCTGATTCCAGGGCAGTCATTTGGCCTTCTCATGTTGTCGACATAAAGAACCTTACTGTACTGGAAAGAGAGCAGCTATTTTCCAAAGCCAGAGAGCCCCCCTCCCATGCATTAGGAAGCCCAGTTGCCCATGGAAAGCATCTCTTGGTGCCATGGCGTGCATCTGCCCTGCTCCAATGCACCAGGGCACTGGCACCTTGGCTAGGGAGGCGCCAACTTCCACTGGCTGGCATCCACTTTGGGTTTGGCAAAAACACAACAGTCGGGTTGAATTAACCAAGCACTCACACACCACAAAGAAGCCACTCCAACACACCACTGCTGTCACGCTGCACACACCCTTCACCTACCCCAGAGTAGAGCTGCCTTCCTCAGCAGGGTTGGCGGGGGCACTGTGTTCTCTGTGCTCTGTGGGGTCTTCCGCCTGCCGCCGGGGCTCTGCAGACACTCCCTGCAAAGGGCAGCACAGGGAGGCACCGGGTCAGCATGCCACGCCTTCAGTACATCTGTTATTATGAAACCCCTCATCTGTGGCCACGGAGCCAGGGATGCTGCCCGCTGCTCGTGCCGACACGGCCACGTGACTGGCTCGGTCAGTTCCGGAGCCGGTTTCAACAAGGGGACTGAGTGACTCATGTGCCCACTTTTGTCCAGGCCAGGACACAGAGCTCCTTCACAAAGTTTGTCCAACTCTGCGACACAGCTGGCCAGAAAAACAAAATACAAGGCTGTGACTCGCTGTGGTGGCCCCTCAGGCTCTGAGACTCGGCAGAACGAGGAAGTTTCTCTGATGACCACACTCCCAGCAGGCACAGAGGTCACACTCAGCAGTCCCCCAGCCAAGAATGCCACCCCTGGAAACCAACGCCTACAGTATCTGCGCATCCCGCCTAGGTGCCACGAGGCTAACGGGTGAGTTCCCTTACAGACACAGGAAGTACACAGCACTGTCTCCAACTGCTTCAGTTAAGAGAGACTGCCTCTGTCACTGCAGAAATCGCTCTCTTTGAAGTGGACAAATGCAGATTTAACAGGCAAGGGAGAGAGAGACTGTGTACGTCAACTCTGAAGCACAGATAAGAATTTTCTAGAGAAACATGCCCACCGCCATCTTTAGAAATAGCTAGGGCATGCCCCTGGAGTCCCTGGGGGTGCAAATGATTGAGGGGCTCAGCTGCCAACCGAAAGGTTGAGAAAGTTGAGTTCTCTCTCGCCATTAAAACACTCACCTTAAAACCATGCAGTTTTTGCACTCTTAATTATGCTTTGCCCCACAGCAATCCCTGAAAATATTCGCAAATAAAAAAGGAAACAGATACAATGAATATTATATGACTGGCATCCATATTGGAAAAGTGGTTACACTATGCTGCCTTTGGACTTGAAATAAAGCACCCCTTTTCCACTGAAGAGGAGTCTCTGAGTAGTGTAGACAGTTAAGTGCTTGGCTACTAACTGAAAGGCTGGAGGCTTGAATCCACTCAGTGGTGCCTAAGAAGAAAGACCTGACCATCTGTCTCCAAAAGGTCACAGTCATTGAAAGCCCTATGGAGCGCGGCTCTACCCTGACACGCATGGGGTCGCCGTGAGGCGGAGTCAATTCAATGGCAACCAGTACCAGTTTTCAGTGGTAGATGCCACTTCCTAGAGTTTTCCCAGGCTCTTTGTTACCAGCATTAATGGACACATGAGGCAAGCGAGAGCAGGGATTACAAGGTCGGCAGTGAAGGCTGTGGGCTTGTGAAAACACAGTGCCTACAGTGTTCATGAACTGTCGATTTCTCCCCAAGTGCATTACACACAGCTGGGACCAGAAAAGCTGGGGAGCATAAGTGCTCAAACAGCCGGATACATGCAAGACTGACACATGGCAATCACCGTGTGGGCGTGTCCTAAAAACTGGTTGCACTGCTCCTGATGCACAACAGCCCCATGGGTGTCAGAGAAGAACTGTGCCCCTCGAGTTCTCAACGGCTGATGTGTCAGGAGACCCCCAGGCCTTTCTCCCCAGGCACCTCTGGGTGGACCTGGACCACCAACCTGTTGGTTAACAGTCAAGTGCATTAACCAATGCACCACCAAGAGGCTCCATGGGCACGTCCTAGCCTTTTCATACACATAGCAGTGGTCAAGTGCAGGCTTCGCCCTGCCTGAGTGGGAGCTCACCTCTTTGTAGGGGTCTGTGGACGGCGACGACCTGCACCTCTCGTGCACGTACTGTGGTCTTTCACGCTGGTTCAGCCCTGCGTCCAGGATGTCATCTGCTGAGTGATACCTCCCAGAGCTCCTGGCTTCCAGAGGCTTCCGCTGTTCCTTCCAAGAGGCTTGATACTCAGCAAATGTCCCAAGTCTCTGGGGAAGCTCAGATTTCCCCACTTTCCTGTGGTTGCTGGCGTTTTCCCCAGAGGATGTGGGGCGTTCCCTCCGCAGGAACCAAGGCTCCGCACCCTCATACCCGTGACCAGCTGTCTGCAGTCGCTCTGGCTTCTCTCTGGGGAATCCACACAGAGCCTGCCTTTGCCCTGGCCTCTGATGAGCAGATCTGCTGGTCTCCTCAAAAAACTTCCACCTGTCAGCAAAAGTGCCCACCGTGTCCTCAGCTCTGTCAGGGAGCTGGTGAGGTTGGTAAGCTCCTGAGAGCCCCACCTCATGGATCTTCTCAGGCTCAGAGTATGACTTCAGTTTCTGCTCCACCGTAAAGCGTCTCCGGCCCCCAATGCGGGGGATGTAGGATGTACTCCCTCCAGAAGAGGACACCTTGGCAGGGCACCCCTCCAGGAAATCGGGGGCAGTGTCTGGACCCAAGGGGAACAGGGGTGAGGCACCATGGTCCTCAGGTCTATGCTCTGGTGGCAATGGGTAATGGTCACCTGGGCTGGGGTCCAAGTCGCGACGCTTAAATGATGTGGCCCTCAGGACCCTGGCTTGAGCCTCCTTCAAGTGGTCTTTGTAGGTGCTGGTGAAGGAACTTTCTGGAGCGGTGCTGGTGGGAACCCTCAGCTCCACCTTCCAACCGCTGGGGTCTTCCTCGGCCTCCCTTGTCCCCACCAGAGTCACAGTACTCTTGCTCTTCTGTAGCTTGGCTCGCCGCATCTGGATCTCATTCCTCAGCGTGGTGGCAAAGCGGTCACTCCTCCGGATTGGCTTTCCCACCTGGGCATCAAATGGGAGTGGCTTCCCTGGACCACTATCTTGACAGTGCCTGAGGACGCTATCTTGGCGACACCCCAGGCGGCCACCTTGGTGGTGCCCGGGACGGCCATCCTGGAGGTGTCCCAGGCCGCCATCTTGGAGGTACCCCAGGTTGTTCCCTGACTGGCTCTTCTTCCCTTCTTGAGTCAAGGAGTGCAACATGGGCGTCTTCTGAGGTGAGATCTTGCTGCTCTCTCCATCCACCCACTGCAAGTCACTGCTTGTTGTTCTTTTGGGGCTGGCTTTTTCCACATGGCTGGCTCTGGGGAGCTCTTCCGTTCCCATCGACCAGGTCTCCCCATCTCTATCCAGTGGGTGCCACCGTTCTCTCTCATTAGGGTCCAGCATTTCACCCTGCTGAGGTAGGTAACATCGTGGTTTGGAGTCCATCAGGAGGGTGGGAGGAGCGTCCTGGGCCCCTGGTACCACCTTAGCTCCTGCTGCAGATGGCCAATACCCCTCACTAAGCTGCAGTGTCTGATGACTCCCCTGGGTGGGCTGTTTGGGGGTCACACAGTAATAGTGGCCCTGCCCGCTGCCCTCCATCCTCTGGTCAGCAGTACCAAGCCATCTCTCTGGAGCGAAAGCGTCATCCTGGAAGCGGTCAACAGGAGGCTCCTGATGGCCCCCAAGGAGGGGCAGGTGCCGCAGCTCCCTGGGTGATGCCGAGGGTCTGGGACTCTCGTGGAGGAAGGGGTTCTCATCGCTGTACTGGCGAGGGTGCTGGTATCCGTAGGTGGATGGGGCGAAGCTCACATCACAGCTTGACTGTGAAGCCTGCAGTCTACTGGGGACCCTGAGGAGGCCGCCCAGTCGGCAGTCGCCAGCCAGGGGCAGGTCTACAGGGTGGCCACAGTTGCCGGGCCGCCGGGTGTCCCCAGCCCATGCCTGCTGTTGTGGTGGATCTGTGGGGTCAGCTCTCCACTCAGTCTGTGGTGGAGCCCGGGGCAGGGTGGTCAGATGCTGCGTGGCAGCCGCTTCTGTGAACACAGGGCCCGGGGCCTTCTCATGACCTTTGGTAGCAGCGAAGCTGTCACTGCGCAGTGGTGGAGGAGGAGGAGGAGGAGAGACAGGTGCCTTTTTCTTATCAGGAACATACCAGACAGGCCCGAAATTGGACCTTCCCGGGGCAGCCGCCTTCGGCTCAGGGCTGTCCTCCTGCCTGGGGCTTTTACTGCTCTTGTAGTAGGGGTCGGCAGGCAGACAGCTGAACCTTTCCTCCAGGCCGTGATCCAGGTCACTGCCTACCTGGGCCTGCCTGCCACCTGGCCGAGAGTTCTCCCACAGCCCCACCTTGTAGAGGAGGTTCTCCGTGGATGAGCCGTCGGCCCTGGGCAGTGTGTGGTCCGGTGTGCTAGAGCTGGTGGAGAAGGAACCATAAGCCGAGTCACGCTTGCTCGGCCCCCCCAGGTGTTCAGTGCTGCTGCTGGACTTGGCAGCAGAGAGGCGGCCAGATGAACAGGGCTGGTTTGGGGGATCCAGGCTATCCATGCTACCCAGGGAGCTGAAGTGGTCCGAGGTGCACTGCAGGTTCGTCTGTTCCCAGGCACCAGACAGGTCATGGGAAGAGGAGCTGGAAAGAAGAAAGGACAAGAGAGTTTGCTTTAGGACTTCGTGGCAGCAGAGGACGGGGTGGGGGGGCAGCCACGTGCGTGTGGACACTCACACACACGCAAACATGCACGGTGAGAGGGTGGAGAAGATGTGCTTCCTGCAAAAGGGCCTGTGGGGGTGCCGGGCACATGCAGCATGCTGGTGCATGGGGCCCCGGGCACACGCCAACCCCACATACGCACACCGACCCTGCACGCTGGCACACGCACAGCAAGTCATGCATGTGCACGCCGATCCATGTGCACAGGGCAGGTTGAAAAGACTGGGTTCTATTCAAGCAATACCTCTTTAATTTACAAAAAAAAAAAAAAAAAGGTTACTTTAAGTGCCAGCAGAACATTTTCTCATGTTGAAGCCCATCAACTGTAGGGAGCAAGCTGGACAGGATGCATGAATAAAAAGGGCGCAGGGAAGGGGAAGTCACAGGGAGGTGAGGGGAGGCCAGCTTTTCATGGTTGGGATTGTAATCGGGTATGAAACTGAATGTGCATGAACTATTGTGAGTAAAATGAATCTGCTTTGTAAATTTGTACCCATATCACAATAAATGATTAAAAAAAAAAAAAAAAAAGACCATCGACCAGCCAAATTCTACTCGTGAGCTATGAATAGTTTTTATGTTTTTAAATGGTTGGGGGAGAAATTAAAATAGTATTTTGTGACTTAAAAATTATCTGAAATATGAATTTCAGTGTCCACAGATGAAGTTTTATTGGTATACAGCCATGCCCGCTCACGGCTACTTTCTTGCGACAGCGGCAGAGTTGAATAGCTGAGACAGACTGTATGTCCTGCAAAGCAAAGATACTCACTGTCTGGCCTTTTACATGGAGATGGGATGACTCCAAGGCTGGGGTGCAAAATGATTGTGGTAGCGGATTATGAACACAAAAGAAGCTAGCAGACTAGAACAACGTTAAAATTAAGAGAAACTTCAGGGGTAACGTTACTTTTCCAAGCCCACCTACTACAGCATGGACAGCTCTCCTCTAAATTCTCAGTTGGGCTGATAACCCAAGGGACAGGCTTTACTAGCCACATGCCACTGTGCTCAGGCAGTAGGGTAACTCTTACAAGGGTAAGAAGCACTGGACGTTAAAGCCAACGATGTTGTTGTTGGATGCTGTTATTGGATGTTGTTGGAATGTCAAGTCCATTCCGACTCACCGCAGCTGGTGTGACAGAGCAAAACTGCCTCACAGGCTTTCTTAGGCTGTCATCTTTATGGGAGCAGACTGTCAGCTCTTTTTCCCACGAAGCTGGGTGGGTTCAAACTGCTGACCTTTCGATTAGTAGCTGAGTGCTTAACTGTTGCACCACCAGTGCTCCTTAATGCCCAAAATACCCCAAATCCCCTGCCGTCGAGTTGATTCTGACTCATAGCAACCTTATAGCACAGGGTATTACTGCCCCATGGGGTTCCCAAGGCCGTCCATCTTTACGGAAGCAGACTGCCATGTCTTACTTCCCACAGGGCGGCTGGTGGGTTTCAAACCACTCACCTTTCTGTTAACAACCAAACACTTTAACCACTGCGCCATCAGGGCCTCTAATGCTAATAACACAGGGCCATGATTATGATGGCATCTAAGACAAGGAAATAAAAAGCAAGACTTCTTAAAACAAGCTAAGCTATAAAAAATGAAGTAGGAAATTAATTATTCTGTGAGGTAACAGTGGTGCGTTTGTGAGACTGGTAACAATGGCTGGTGGAACTATTTATCCAGCTATGTCAAGTTTCATTAACACTCAGTAAAGCTGGAACCCTCAAGCTTCAAGGAAAAAGAAAAAGCAGCAGTAGCAGTGGCTACATTAGGTTTGGGAACCTTGGTGGTGCAGAGCTTAAAGCACTCAGCTGCCAACCAAAAGGTCAACAATTTGAACCCACCAGCTGCTCTGTGGGAGAAAGATGTGGCTGTCTGTTTCTGTAAAGACTACAGCCTTGGAAACCCTGTGGGGCAGTCCCACTCTGTTCCATAGAGTCGCCATGAATCGGAATCAATCCAACTGCAGTGGGTTTGGTTTTGGATTTAAAAAAAAAAAAAAAAAAAAAAAAACATGCAAGGATAGGAAAATGAACTGGCCAGCTGATCTAAGGGAGGGAAACAGATTGTTAAGTTTCTACACCCTTTCCCAGATATGAACCACTTTCCCATCCAGCCCCCAATATTCCTGGGGTGATTTTCCCACATGATACCAAGCCCAAGTGGATATAAAGAACGCTAAATGCTATGTCAACAAAGACAGATGTGAGCAGTGTTGTGCTTCTTTCGTTAAGAAACCACAGCATGGGCCCAACAGGTCATATTACATTGAGTCACTTCAACAGTGAAACCAAAAGCCACTCTTCATTTCATTTCCTACTTGGTTGAGGATTTGTGGTTTTCAGGATGCCCTGAGCTCTAAACGCTTCATCTCTCATCGCTTTAAGGAGGAAGTAACATAATTGTGATCCAGTTCCTTTATATCACAAACGTCCTTTACTTTCAATTGTGCAGCAGACTAGCATTTGTTAACAGCCCAAAATGGATTTTGAGATGGCTACACTATAGCTCCAGATACACAGTCACACTCTCTCACATGCACACACCCCTACACAAACACAACACTCTCATGAACACACAACATACATGTACACAGTCACATACACAGACACATGTGTACACAACAGCATCACAGCACACACCCTCAAATATACTTTCACGTTCACTCAAACACATACACGAACTCACACATGCACTCACATGCACACATGCAAATTCAAGCACAACACAAACACACTCTCAAATGCATGCATTCATTTACTGAAACACTCTCCCATGCACACACACTCAAAGACACATACTACCTTGCACACACTCAAATATACTCTCATGTGCACACCCAACACAAACAGGCACACACTCTCACATGGACACACATTCAAACACACTCTCCCATGCACACACACAGTCTAATACACGGACTCATATACAGCACACACTCCCACAGGTACAGATTCTCATACAAATACTCATGCAAACACACACACACAACAAATACACAGGCACATACTTGCATGCACACACTGGAACACTTGCATGCACACTCACACGTACACACACCAAAACTCCACTATTCACTGTTACTGTCACCCTCCAAGCAGGAGACAGTGACAACTCTCACCACTGATCATCTGAGGTCCCTGGTCAACAGTGGAACTGGAGGAGTCTCGTGGTGCTGCCACAGGACTGGCCCACCCTCAGCGTGCTTGGGACTGCGACGAAGCAGCAGCCCTGGCCCATGACTCACTCGTGGAGAGCCACGGTGGGCCCTGTGACGTGGCTGCTAAGCTCTCTGGCTTCCTCATGCCTCCCACCCACACTCTGGAGGCTGTAGAAAGGGAAATGCCCCGGGAGTACCGGTGAGATTCACGGCTCCACCCAAAAGGTTCTCCCACAGACCCATCTTTATGGAGAATCTCCAGAGAAGAGTGGGGGCTGCAGGCATGGGGGGGGACGCTGACACCATCTCACCTGCCTGAGAACCCCCTCATCCTGGCAGACAAGCCCCAATCCTGGCTGACACCCCCTCATCCTGAGAAGCCCCCTCATCCTGGCTGAGAACCTCTCCAATCCCGGCTGACACTTCCCCATCCTGGCTGAGAACCCCTTCATCCTGGCTGACGCCTCCCCATCCTGGCTGAGGACCCCTCATCTAGTGCTCCCTGGTAGTCCCAGAGCGATGCAGCAGAAAGGTGCCCCAGGCACTGGATTTCTGGTTCAGCAGGCACAGAGGAGCAAGGGCGCTGGAAATCCTTCCTCTGGTGGTTTAACCCTTGTCTTCCAGTGTCACGAGGCTGCCTGCTCAGTGAAACGTTTAGAGGGTGCACCTGAAATGAGGGCATCGAAGGCCTTTTTCTTGTCAGGAAAAAACAAAAATCACCCAGAAGTAAAGGAATGAGCTGCCCTATGGGGCAGGGAGATGCGCGTGCTGACGGGACACCCAGGAAGCATCCCACACTGGTGACAGAGCGCTTACCTCGCGTGCTGCCGGGTGTGCCAGGACTGGCAGGTGCCCGCCGCAGAGAATGGAGCGGCCACTGCCTCAGGGGCACCATCACAGAACTTGGTGGCATGCCAGGAGTGTGGCCTCCAGCTCAGCTCCGTCCTCCTGAAAAGGAAGGCAGAGGGCTCAGGACTCACGCAGAGGACAGCAGTAGGGCAGAGTGCAAGACCCATTCCTCAGGGATACAGGATCATGTCCAGCACCTGCCACTGTGTCCCAGGGCCCCTGGTCGTGTGAGCAGTGAACACGCGTGGCTGCCAACCAAAGGTCAGAGGTTCGGAAGAAAGGCCGGGCCTTTCTTCTGAAAAATCAGCCAGTGGATGGCAACTCGTTACTGGTCCACTCCATCTGGTCAAGAATACTCCGCTTTCATTATTATTCATGACTGATTTACCTACTGCCCGAATTAAAGGGTCCAAAATGGGAACCAGTCCTTATTCTTCAAAAATTTACCCTAAGGAAGTCCTAAAACCCAAACCCACTGCTGTCGAGTCAATTCTGATTTATAGCAACCCTAGAGGACGGTGCCCCATAGGGTTTCCAAGGCTGTAAATCATTATGGAAGTAGACTGCCTCATCTTTCTCCCATGGAGCAGCGAGTGGATTTGAACCACCAACCTTTTAGTTAGCAGCCCAATGATTTAACCATGGTGCCACGGGAGCTCCTACTCTAAGAAAGTACCAAACCAAAAACCAAACCAGTTGTCACTGAGTCAGGTCTGATCATGGTGACCCCATGTGTGTCAGAGTGGAACTTTGCTCCATGAGGTTTTCAATGGCTCTGACTTTTCAGAAGCAGATCACCAGGCCTTCCTTCTGAGGTACCTCTAAGTGCACTGGAACTGCCAACCCTTCAGTCAGCAGTCAAATGTGTTCACCGTTTGTACCACGCAGTGACTCTTCTAAATAAGTGAGTATGTAAATAAATATTCACCCCGCTCCAGAAGAACAAAACCAAACCCGTGGCCCCTCCCTGTTCCAGCCCAGCCTTGTGTAGGACCCTGGGCCTCTTTGAGGAGATAGGATTGGGCTGGGAGACATGGTCTAGATGGCTTATCTTCATTTATGGACTTAGTTAAGGGAGTAAATAAAGGCTGTCTAAGAGGGGACTGAGACTAGTGGCCGCCATCTTCCCCTGAGCCTCTCCGTGCACGTTGTGATGACAGGGCATACCTGTGACATCAGTCAATATCTGTGATGTCAATGCGTGTCCGTGATGTCAGTGTGTGCCTGTGACATCAGTCAATACCTGTGTCATCAGTCCATGCCCATGACAGTGTGTGCCTGTGACGACAGTGTCTGCTCATGACGTCAGTGCATGCCTGTGACATCAGTCCATGCCTGTGCCCTCAGTGTACGCCTGTGACATCAGTCAATACCAGTGACATCAGTGAGTGCCCGTGATGACAGTGTGCACCTGTGATGTCAGTGCACACGCACGACATAAGCATGCACCCGTGAAGTCAAACAAGGGTCTCTGTGAACGAGACGGTGTGAATGGAAACTCTGAGGATAGACAACACGAGTGGGGTGAAGGCGGGACTCCTGAGTGTGGAGTAAGGCTCCCGGGGCCATACCCACCTCCCGGTGGAAGCTGTCATGCTTCTTTGGCCACACTTGACCAGGAGTGATAGGGTGTGTCCATTTCAAAAGTCCCTACTGAGGCCACAAGTGCTCCCGTCGTGTAAACGCCACTGAGCCACCAGAGTTTGCTGTGTGTGTGTGTGGGGGGGTGTGGGCAGGGACCCACCTTGCTTTGGCTCTTGTTCCATTTTATCGTTTTTAGTGAGCTTTCCTCACCCCTTCTCTCATTTAGGGCAGAAATAACCTCACCGTCGATACTTTATGGACCAAATCAAGAGCCGAGACAAAACTCAACTGCTTAGGGGATACTGGGCTTCTGTTAAGGTTGGTGGGAAAACACGGCAATGGAAAGTGATGGTGGCTGCACAACTCAGGGGCAAAGTTCACAGTGCTGAACTGCACCCGCAAGACATGTCAAAATGGTCAAAGCTTTATGATATCAATACTTACACAATTTTCAAATCAAAAGCAGTTACAACCAAAACAAAGCATAAACAAACAAACAACAAAAAAACAAAACCTGGGTCTCTTTAGATGTTCTACGGAGATCAAACATTTTTCTAAGCCAGCTGAAATGTTGAAGAAAATGATGTGAGCAGGAAAATAAAACCAAAAAGCATTTTAACACCAACATTTTGATGACCCAGATCATTTTCATGGGTGACAAAACGTAGACCACATTGACTTGAAGCAAGTTTCACATGAGCTTCAGAGAAAGTATGTGATGGGAGGCCTCATCACACCATGGACACCAAGGAACTGTGTCAACCTAAGACTGTACCTCTCAGAACTCCTCAAAATCCTAAGCAAGTGCTGGCCACGTGACTGTCATTTTCAGATGGCTTTCCCCCTGCTATAATCCCCACAACTTCTTTCCTCTTCCGTCACAGTTGGTTAATGATGGGAGGAAAATGAGACTCAAGACTTCTGGTTAGCAGTCAAATGCCTTAGGCCTATGCCACCAAAGCTCCATAAATTACAATAAGCTTCTGAAAAATTACATAATAAAATCATTAGCAATAAAATTTGTTCTCACAAAATATTTATGGTTTTGTTTTTTTTTTTTTGAGTTTTAAAAACAGCTGTAAATTCTTTGTTCCTTCTCCCACTGAGAATTAGACTCTCCTTCCCCTCCACTTGGATCTAGGCTGGTCTGAGTGAGCTGAGTAACAAACAGCATGTGGAAGAGGTGCTCTGAGACTTTCAAGCTAGGATATGGAAACCTTGCAGCTTCCTCCTGGACCTCTGAGCAGGTTTTCTGTGAGGGGAGTCAACTACCATGTGAGAAGGCCAGTGACCCTGAGGCCACTATGCTGTGAGGAAGCCCAGGGTGGGCTGGGCTTTCTGTGTGGATCATCTGGCAAACCGGTTGTTGTTGTTGGGTGCCATTGAGCCGATTCCAAATCACAGCAACCTCATGTGACAGAGTAGAACTGCCCCATAGAGTTTTCTAGGCTGTAAACTTTATTGAGGAGCCCTGGCAGTGTAGTAGTTAAGCACCTGATTGCTAACCAAAAGGTTGGTGGTTCAAAGCCACCAGCCACTCTGCAGGAGAAAGATGGGTCAGTCTGCTTTCGTAAAGATGACAGCCTTGGAAACCCCATGGCCAGCTCTACCCTGTGCTATAGGGTCATGATGAGTCAGAATTGACTCATGGCAGCGAGGTAATGGGTTTTCTTTCTTTCTTTTTTTTGTAATTTTTACAGAAGCAGGTGACCAGGTCTTTTGCCTACAGAGCTTCTGGGTAGGTTTGCATCACCAACCTTTTGGTTAGCAGCCAAGCACTTAACCGTTTGTGCCTCCAGGGCTCCTTATATACCTACGAGGATTAGTGGCGTAATGCCTAAAGCATGTAACTGCTAACCCGAAGACTGGCAGTTCAAACCCACCAGCCACTCCTTAGAAGGAAGGAAAGGTTGGGCAATCTACTTCCGTAGTGATACCACCTCGGAAATCCAGGGAGGGGTTCTGTAAGTCTGTTCCGACTCATTGGCAGTGTGAGACACAGAGAGAGAGAGAGAGAGAGAGAGAGAAAGAGAAAGAGAAGGACTGATAAGATTTCCCCAAAACATTCCCCCCCACTCAAATCCTCTGAAGCTCCTGGTACATTAAGGAATGGATTTGGGAATCAAGGAAGATTCGGGCTAGTTTCTGTTTCCTGCCACTCTGATGCTCTGAAATGGCTGGACTTTTGCTGGTCAGGAGAGGGGAGGGCATTCAGCACTTGTCCGCTGGTGGTTCAGTCACAGCCCTGTGAGAAAGTGGGACAGGAACACTCTGAGGAAGGAGACCTCTGCTGCCCCCTGGAGCCCTGGGACCCTCATCGTCCCTTCCACTCAGCCTCAACTCCATATGGGCCAGAAACAAAAAGAGTGGAGAGGTCAGCAAGTATGTCTTCCCAAACAAGACACAAAGTCAAGGGGCTTTAAGACACATGTTGTTGTCATAGCAACTGCATATGAAACACTGCCCAGTCCTGTGCCATCTTCATGATCTTTGGTATGTGTCAGCCCATTGCTGACTTACAGGGTGTGGTGGTGAAGTTTGTGTGTCAGCTTGGCTGGGCCTGGTTGAGTGGCTGGGCAGCTGGATGTAGCATTCCCCATGCTGAGACTGGTCATCAACTCCATGGTGGGATCTACTGTGAGCAGCTGAGTAGCTGCTTTGGGTATGTGGTCTGCTTCCCATACATAAGAAACAACTTTGGGAATGGTCTTCAGCTTATGGCATGCTTGAACCCTGCATGTAGCCGTGTCGTTGTTCAACAGCCTGCCATGCTCTGCTGACCTTGGGACTTTCAATGAATTTGAATGAATGGCCTGCTGTGTGGATTGGTAACATTGGGACTGTGCCTTTTTACTTGTCAACCTTGGGATCGGCAGCCTCAGCAGCCAGCAGCTGTTGGAGTGAAGAAAAGCCTCTAGCTCCAATGGGCCAGGAGCAGGAGGCAGAGCCTGGCACTATGACCTTGGACTTAAAGCCTCCAAACCATAAGAGAATAACTCCTGTTTATTTAGGCCATCCCATTGGTGGTATATTCCCGTCAGAGCGGCACCAGGGAAGCAGGACACAGAGGTCATCTCCCAGCACTGTAGCAGACAATATTCGGTGGTGATCCACAGAGTTTTCACTGGCTGATTTTTGGAAATAGATTGCCAGGCCTTTCTTCCTAGTCTGTCCTAAGTTTCACTGAAACTTACCCACCGTGAATGACTGCTAATATGTGAAATCCCAGTGGCACAGCATCCAGCATCACAGCCACATACAGCCATCCCAGGACAACACACTGACAAACGGGTGGTGGTCAATTCACACAGTCACCAGAAATGTGGGTGGCCTGAGTAGCAGGCACGCATGCCACCATGTATACAACAACGAAAGAGCCAAACACACTCACTCTGGGGCCCTGATAGCATAGGACACGTCAAATTCAGTTCCATTCCCTGCAACACCTTTGCCACGTGACAGAGCCATGAGCATCTGATGCAAATACAAACCAAAGTGCCATCTGGCATGAAGTG